GAGACCGTATCATGGTGGTCAAAGAGCCCTGGCTTGATCTCATCCTGGAAGGCGCCAAGACCATGGAAATACGCGGCTGCAAGCGCCGCCCTGGGTTTGTGTGGCTTGCAAGACAAGGGTCTGTGTATGGCAGCGCCACAATCACCGAGAGCATCGTGCTGTCGCCAGACGAGTTTCGGGCGCGTGAGTCGGAGCACTGCTGGCCAGTTGACAAGACCCTACCCTATAAACGGCCTTGCGGCTTACTCTTGGCAGAGACTCAGAAGCTTCCAACTCCAATACCATATTGGCGGCCGCCAGCGGCAATTGGGTGGAACATCTTTCGGAAAGGCCCTGAAGATGTTCTGGTGAAGCCATCCAAGCCTCAGAAACTGAAGCGGGAAAGAACGACGGCAAGTACAGGCGTGAGGCAGAGAAAGCGGCGGAATGGCGAGCAAATTGCGGCTGCCACTCCAACACCTTGCAGGAAGCACGCCACTGAGGGCGCACACTGAGAGTTGCAAATTCAATGTCCCAGAGGCCGTGTTTAGTTTAGACGCAATTCATTGAATCCGTCGGCGAGCGCCCGCCACCCCTTCAGTATATAATTGAAGAAACCAGTGTTCAACACGCGCCTCTAGCAAACGCTGTAGGAAGACTTATCCACCTTTAGACACCCCTCAGCGGTTGCACGCTGTGATTTGGTTGCGACGCGCAAGCAAAAAGTCCTGTTGAAAGCCGAGTGTCAGTGAACGGTTTATTTATTCAGTTTACTTCTCCGACAGAAGGCTTGCTGAAGGAACATGTCATTTGACGCGCGCGTGTTGATAATACGCATATATGTGGGCACGCGTGCGCGTGCAGGACTTATCTTTAAGACTTGTAATCTAAAAGACCGTCCAAAAAAAAATGCGCAGAAGAAACCCGATCTTCCACACCTCACGCTTTTCCTGTAGCTGTTTTTCGAGAGTTAGCATTGGTGTTCCGTGGGATAGGGGCGTTTGCAGATGGCACCTACTGCCTGGTGGAACCCTGACATTGTGGCATTGTTGTTCACATACTTGGACCTGCCTACACAAGTGCGGTTTGCCAGCGTGTCAAGAACATGGGTGCCTGAAGAGGCTGTCGCTGCCGTGATTGCAGCAGCAACAAAGCTCACCTCTCACTTGACTTGTCCACTTTGCTTTGTGGCTCCAAACGCTCTTCCGACGACTTCGCCGTCTTTGGTTTTCCTCCGCGCTGCCAAAACAATCTGGCGCTTGGTCGCCTTGCCGTTGCTGCGATTGAGTGGGCAGATCATGGAATGCCCGGGTTTGTTGGGCGAGGTCATCTCCGAAGTGTACTTGTTGGGCTTCCGCGGGCGTCGCCGCGTCTTGTCCGAACAGTGGTGGCGAGACCTGCTGGGACGTTGGGAAGCCGCTGTAAGTCCTCAACTTCTGCGGAGGATCTTGCGCGAAAGGGGCCTGAATGAAAACTTTCTTGAGGCGATCAAAGATGTGAATGATGTGAACCTCAGAAACTACTACATTGACAAGGCCATGGCAGTCCTGAGTGAAGGCAAGTGCAACCTCCATTGGTTTCCCGTGCGTTTCAACAACGAACTTGACGAGCTGACAGAAGCTTCGTTTGTGGTGGAGTTTGAAATACATGGTGTTTATGGGGTTTTGTGGTTCCGAGAGCTCTATGAAGATGACGTCTGAAGAATGCTGGCGCGGGCGCCTATGTAGGCCAATAGTAACGATCGCTCCGCAGCTGAAAAGAGACACGCTTACGCTCTTCAGATTGTGGGCGGCGAGGCATGGCGTGCGCAAGACGCACGAAACGGAACCGTGACCTGTTGCAATTTTCTCTCTACTTGATATTTGGGCATCAGCTTTACAGAAAACCCACACCAACGGAATAATAGAAGTGTGCTCGTTTAGCGGGCGTAAAAAAAACTTCTATGTAAAAAAACATGTGAGCATTTTTCGATGACTGAGGGCGGGCCGCTGGTGTTCAATCCTTCTGCTGTGGCCGCGCAGGCTCAAGCCACGGTACCTTTCAATAAACTGTTGTGAGATCCCCTGCTCTGTCTTTCGGCTGGCGCTTTTGGATGTCTGTCATGGCAATGAGAGCAGCTGCGGCGCTGGACGTGCGGTCTGGCCAGTTGAAGGACAAGCTGGAAGAGTGGCTCTGGGGCATGTGCATAGCACGGGCGCGGTTGTCCATCAATGATGCCACAGCTCAGGCTCGGCCAAACGCACCCCATTCAAGCAAGGGCGCCGCACACCAAGAATCTCCATACACGGGCACGCGTCTGGTTTCAACCACCATTTCCAGGCGCTGCGCCGCTGGCCTTACTGGAAGGAAGAGTCGGCGCTTCGCATCTTTGATGTGGTGGTCACCGAGATTCTGCGCGTGTGGCGTGCTCGGCGAGAAGGCGCGCCCACACAATGCTTGCGGTTCTAGAACGCCCCAGGCCAGTTGGAATCTAATCGTGCTTTACAGCATTTGCAGGCAGCTGGAGCCTCAACGCTCGTGATTGGCAACATGGGCGGTGCAAAGTGAGGCAAGGGAAGCACAAACTGCAGCGGAAATGTTTGCGCGCCCGTCGTCAGAAGGACTTCTCGGAAAGCGTGCTGATTGAAATATAGACCACGGGCCACAGAGCCGAATTTCAAGGCGTCGTTTTACCACTTGATCGTTGGAACGCTGACAAAAGGAAAAGAGCGAGCTTCAAAGCCATTTCAATCTATAAAAGCCAACAAAGATGACGCCATCGTGGTGCGAAACAGACGAGGACCAGAAATCTGCAGCTTTAATCAGGCCGTTTTGGAAGACACGTGGTTCAAGCCTGCGCTCTCGTTTAAGCTCTCGACGCGCAGCGACGCGGCCATGTCGTCCATGTTTGTGCCTGTCACCAACTTCAAGGCCCGGGCGTCAGCAACCCCAAGACACATCTGCACGCACGCGCATGCAGAAATCCAGATGAGCATCGCATTGACTAACTACAGTCGTTGCCCTCCCCTTCGGCCCTGTCAGGTGCTCGGCGTCATGTTGGCGCCGCGCGACGGCAAAAGCTTATTCCACGCCCTGGCGCTCCAAGAACAGGGAGAGGGCGAAGCTTTGAGGCAAGAGCTTGCTGACTTTTTAGAGGTGTCTGCCCGTCACCACGCGCAGAGCAATGCAGCTGCAGCCTGGTTGGACGAAGCGAGGCGCCTCCGGGACCCATGCCAAGACTTCTGGGGCAGTCACACGTCCATCGTTGCATATTCGGCCATGCGAGGCCGAAAAGTTGTCATCCACACGCGTCAGGCAAGAGGCATGTGCGAGGTGCAGGACATGAGCCACTCCATTGTCGCAGCAGACGCACCAACCACACACATCCTTTGTAGCGGTGACAACCACTATGACGCCTTGGTGGATGTAGTGATGGGCGACGGTTTCACGGCTTTGCAACCAGCGTGGGAACAGCCATTTGGGATGACCATGACCCCGCCCAGCACCAACACTCCAGAAGATCGTTTCCAACAGCAGCGTCGGCCGCTACCACGCACAAGACCCCCTGCGCCGCTTCTGTGGGCTTCCTTTCAAATGTGGGCCAGCGCCGCAGCCAGGCAAGAAGACATTGCAGTTCACCTGCTGCTGATGCTGTCTATGTATGTTTGGTTGGTGTTGAACAACTCTTGCCCCGGGTCTTTCTTAGCGGAGCTCCAGGGCATCTTGCGCCGCACACTGTCAGAAGCCACAGATTTGCCAGACTGGGTTCGGGGCATGGTGCACGCCACGTCCTTTGTATAAAGCCAACCACAAAAACCCGTCCAGACTAGCGACCGAAAAAAAAGAATCGGCTATGAAAACCATCAAAGACAGAAGCAATTGAAGGGCAATGGATAGAGAGAGTGTGGAAACACGATGCAAGATGACATGTTTCGTGGCCCGAATTTGATGTTTCTTGCTGCGTTGCTGAAGTAGCCCTGGCTATTGCAAATATACCGCCAATCACCGCAGCACTTGATTGATAGCAAGCCTTGACTTGAATACTTGCCAAGCTGTCCCACCTCGCCGCCATGGCAGTCTTGATCGACGACATGCCGATGCGTGTGTCTGCGTTTTGCCCCTTTCCTTTTCCTTTCATGTACCGCTTCACCGCTGCATCACAAACGCGCAGTGATTGGACTGCTGCTGCTGACCAGACGGACATGCAATACCTATGGGACACGTTGCTAGAGTTTTACGGCGTGCAGGAGTACGAGCTGACCTGGTTGGATGAAGACACATGCGTGCTCGATTGCTTGGGCCATCCCCACGCCGTCGTGTTCCAGCGTGGGTCGCCACCAGTTCTTTTGACCTGCGCCCTCACCATTGAAGACACAAGGATGAAAATGGAATTCTTTAGCTTGGCAGGCCGTGCGCTCCCAGCTGTGCACGTCGAGGCGAACGCTGACTTCAAGATGGCTGAAGTGCTTGACTGGGGGCGTGCGCTCGCCGTGCAGCAGGGCCTTGTCACATTCAATGGCCCTGCCGTTCATGTTGTCCTTGATGGGTTCGATCGCCCGCTGGACGAGGACACGCTCTTGTGGAGCCGCGCTGATTGGGGTCATGGAGCTGTTGGTGCAAACCTGCGGCTGCAGCGCGCGCTGGAAGAGCTGAAGAGCAGCGTCTGATGGCTTGGGGCCAGACAGGAATCATGTATTTATAGCAGAGGAAGTGATAGAGGCACAGTTTGACGACAAAACGACAACAAGCAAACTTTTTCGGCGAGAAACCCAATTCCTTCTCATAAACGGCGTGGTCCCCCATTTCTCCACCCACTGATTTACGCAGAACTGATTGCATTGCGCAACACAGCCGCCAGAAGCACACGCAGTGCACGCATACGTTTTTGTTCTTTAACGCTGCAGCGATTTGCTCAAAATCATCCCTTTCCAATTCGCATTTGGCTTCCAAGAAGTGACCAGGAGGACAACCGCGCCTGCTTTGCACACGCTTTGGTTCATGTTGAAAATTTAATCCTGACGGAAACCTTCCCAAGGACACCCATGGCAGCCAACACGCCCCAGCTCAAGGTTTTGTGTGTGGTGAAAGTTGCGGGCGACGGAAATTGTTTGTTTCACGCTTTGGCCTTGCACGAGGGCATCGGCAGCGCCGAGCTAAAGACCGAAGTGCTCGACTACATGGGCATCGTTGCTGAAGAAGAGCCAGCCCTGCGCGAAGCCTGGGCGGCGGAGGCAGACTATTTGCGAAGCCAGGAGCCCGGCCACTGGGGAGGACAGATGGCAATCATTGCCTATTCCGCCATGCGGCAAAAGCGGGTCATCATCCATGAGAAGTCTGACGAGGGCAACGTGAAGGTCGAGGAACATAGCCACACGTCCGTGGCTGGCAAGGAGCTCTGGGAGCTATGAAAAAAATAATCAGCTTTCAATTAATTGTCACAAGCGCGAGGAAGCCTGCGCAGATCCCTAATATGTCTTCTCACAATCAGTTTGTGTCGAATCTCAGGACGACGTCGACACAGTGCATATCCTCTACAATGGCGTGAACCATTACGATGCTTTGCTGGAAATTGAAGACCCTGCCGGATTCTCACCGGCCTGGCCACAGCCACCACCGCCGCAATATGTTGCAGCAGAGACGATCCGAGAAGAAGCTTGACAAACCCAGGGCTCATCGTTTGGTTTGATAGCATATCTGCGTTCGGGCGTTGCGCGCCCCCCAGGTAGAAAAAGTATTTCCGTATTTTGAATTTGAAAAGCTCACCGTGAAAACTTCTTGACGACGCCGAAAATCATGCTATCACACGTATATTCATAGCCAACAATGCTAAGGAAGAGTTTCCACCGTTGCGGACAACGAGCAAAGCCGCTCCAGCATTGAAGAGGTCAAACTTCAGGGCGCCCAAGCCAAAGAAGAACGCTAGCAAACAGAAAGCCAAGAAGGACGAGGCGCCTGCGCCCAAAGCTGCTGCCATTCCAGAGCACCCGATGGAGCCAGAAGCTGACCTACTGGAGGACCTCACAGCCTGCCACATTGCCGCTGCATCGTTGCATCCCCATCGCTTGGTCGAAGACATGATCAAGGAGTTGAAAACAACCGCCGTAGCTTCATGCGCATTTCTTTGCTCGGCGCCTTCTTTTCGTAGGGGTTCCGTTTTAACTTTTTGGAGCACCCTTGGGCCAGGACTTGGCTACCCGCCGCATGCGGGAACACCCCACCGTTCCACCCGGTGCCGCTGTCACGGACAAAGATACCGGTCACCTTTGGCCACGGGTGTTCTGCGCCTTTGAAGGCTGCAGCTGGGCCGAGCTAGATGGCGCGGAAATTGCTTTGCACCGCCACTTGCTGGAACATCACGCCCAAGAGCTGCAAAGCATTGCCCAGCACATGTTGCGCAATAGCGCAGAAGACGCTTTGTTCAGCGTGTACGCAGCTGCGGTGGCAGAGAAATGCCGCGCGCAGGCACCCCTGGCTGGCGCTTCTTTTGACCGCAAAGCGTTGAAGTCACTCTCTGACGCCATGGCCGGGGAACAGGCTCGGGCTCAGAAGACCAAACTCGACACGAAGCCGCAAGCAACTTCACAGATTAGCTATTCTGAAACTAGCAGTTTCCGGTACAGGCTTCAAATGTTAATCCGGCTTGGTGTCGGGCCTGAGGTCGAATCCCTGGTTTGTATGTGCTGTGGTGGGGTCTATCCATACGTGAGCGAGGTTGCGGAGAAGGGCGACATCCAATGGCGCAAGCCGCTTCAGCACGACCCCTCGACGGACGATCTCAAATTCTTCGGGCTTAGCTTCGCCAGCGCGCAAGGTTTAATTGGGCTAGAGGCTTATCTTGACCGATATGACCTGATCAGCCAGGGCACTGATACGGACCACAAGTTGTCAGACCACGAGAACTTTGAAGATTGGACTCTCAAGTTGGGAAGCGGGTCGCTACTTTGCTGTCCTGAGGAGAATGGTTGTTGAAATCACAAAGGGCATCATTGCTTTTGAACGCTCCCGCATTTCTTTTTGCTTTTTCTTGCGTAGTTGGTGGAATGCGCGAGGACCACCGTTGTAAAGCTCAGCCGCAGCACGTCGTCGAGAAGGTTCTGGCTTGTGAGGAATGCGAACTGCCCATGTGTAGGCAATGCCATGATGACCTCATGAAAGCGAAGCTGATATGAATATTTAAACCCTAATGGAAACCGGTCTGAACTTGACCCTCCAGGGGGTTTAGGGTCTAAACCCTGTGGGTTCCCTCTGTGTTTTCTTTTTTTGTTTTCAAAGCCTGCTTTTGGACAAGTGGTCTTGTGGCCTAGAGGCTAAGAGGTTGGCTTTGGGACCCTTGGTG